TAGAAGGAGGTGCCCAGCTGCAGGTGTTCTGCTCAAGGAGGATGCAGCGGTGAACGCAGGATGTTCTTGACGCTCTATGCCTCCATGCAAGCTGAATTCCGCCCATCTGAGCAGCGGTGCTGGCTCCGAGCGGCCTGCACTGGCGACTGAAAGGAGTGATCAACAAGAATGGCTGGTGACTTGGCCGTTGGTTTCTGAAAGAAGTGTCTACGGCTTGTGGCTTCTAAGCCCCTAGAGCAGACAATGATTCTTGTCAATTTGTCCACAGGATTTGGAGTGTACCGTGTTGTTTGGAGTCATACCGTCATGTTAATCATATATTATATGGATTTTTTTTTTGGGAGATCCATCGCAAATTCACTTGTCACCTATGGCTTTCCCAGTTGCTTTGACCTAAAAAGAACCTTCATCACATGTGAACGACGATGGTCCTTGTCCGCAGAGCGCAGCCGTTCTACCTCAAAGCAACTCCTGGGAATTACCCCTTCCCATCGGCCCGTGCCTTCACGTTCAACCCCGGAGCGGGGGCACCTAGCGGGCGGATGGTGGAAGACCTTCTTGGGCTCAAAGACTGAAAACAGTTTTTTCTGTTCCCGTCTCTGCTCTCATGTGTTTCTATGTTCCAGTTAATATGATTCAGGTTCTGTTGCCACCAGGAAATCTGGAGACCAACCAACATGTTGGCTTTGATGGAGAGGAAACACAAAAGTCGTTTCGGAGAAAGGGCTTTCCCATGCTGGGGAACACCTTGTGTGAAAATAGTTTAATGGTGCATTGAGCATCCGTCGCATTCCACTACAACAGTCAACGGGTGGGTTGTTTCCATGAAGATCCTGTGAACCAATAGTTCTTCGAGCTATCCCTTGAGGCAAATAAGGTAAGTACCAAGAAAGGAGGCACCTGAAAGTGAATGTCGCTTGTTATCCTTAGTTGTTAGCCAATCATCGAGGCCATGAAGCTTTGGATTGCCATGCTGTCAGCATGTGCTTTGGCGCAGGATTTTGAGGTGGGAGAGAGTCGAATGTGTCTCTGTGTCATCCTCAATTGAAAGGAACATGGGAAGCAGTCCAGGAGTAGACTTGACAATGCACTACATTTCATTATGCAGATGTCTGTGGCAATGTCTTGCCAGATTTAGCCATTTGCACCTCAATGAAAGCAGGTATCAAAAAAGGTTCTTTGTGCTCCTTATCGGCTGTTCAGCTCCGCTTGTAAAATTCCACAGGACGCCGAGCTTTTGGCAGCGGTTGAAGCCGAAGATTGCTTCAGCGAGGTGGGAGAGAGAGAGAGAGGGGGGGAAGGAGGGAAGGAGGGAAGGAAGGAGGGAGGGAGAGGGAGGTGGGGAGGGAGATGTGAAGGTTGACCACCAGGATCTTTTCATACTTGGGTCGCTTGCCCTTCCTTTTGCAGGGTGTCCGATGGCAACAAATCCAGACCATTGGATCCCCTGAACTGGTCGATGGATGCCGTGTCACTGTGTCACTTGCCGTGAAAGGCGTCGTTTGGTCTCTCAGCAACCCTTCACTTAGCTGAGCTTTTCAAGGACTGCGATGCAGCAGCCCTTCACTTAGCTCAGCTGAGAGCCACCTACTACAAGGAGCAGACGGAGGCCGGTCAAGCGAAGCGCCTCCGTGGGCACTGCTGTGCATTTCTTTTTGTTACTACTAGTAAGGCACTTGTTACTAGTAGCTTCTTGTTACTACTAGTAAGGCACCTGTTACTACTAGCGTGGCACTTGTTCCTAGTAGCTTCCACCCCCCCTGGGCACTGCTGAGTCCCACAGCTTCCGAAGAGTCGAAGACCAAGCGTCATGACCCGAATACGGTTGCTTGAAGTGTATGGGCTTTGAAGGAGAGTGTTTATATATAAATGTATTTTATAGTTGTCTCGAGGAAGATTGCCCTTGGTTAAGCTGGGACAACTTGCAGGCTGTGAGACAAGGACAGTTAGACGAACACTAGATTGTGTGACAGATTGCCAGATTTGCCACAAAGCACCATGTATACCTCAACGAAATATCAGCAATCTACCCCGTTTGAAAGCATGCGTCAAATCATTGGGGAAGTGAGGCTTCCGACGCTGCTGACAAACATAGGCTACATGAAGCTGCCACTTCAACTCGACCATTTAGCAAATGGTCGAGTTGGAAGCCAGAAAAAGCCCCTTGCAACAGATGGGTTTGTTGTTTTGGATTGTATGTGGATTCTATTTGGTATAGTATGTATTTGTGACCGGGTCTTCATGAAAGAGTCCGGTCACCACCACTTCCCGCGCGATCGACGAAAAAGACCGGTGTTCGTCTCAGACCCGAAGGGACCCCTGGGTGTCCGGCTAAGCACCAAGCAGTGAGTGTAGGGATTCGAAGAAGTTCGAAGAGCCGCTCATTTTTCTCTCAAAGGGTCGCGGTGTTGCCCGCGGCCTGTGAGTTTCGGTACCCCCAAATCATCCCAAATCCCAAAGTCGTCTTATTATCTCGAGCAAAGGACGCTACTAGGGGCTCCTGGCATCGCTACTAGGAGCAAGAAGCTACTAGGGGTTCTGGAATTACTACTAGGAGCAAAGGAGGCTACTAGTGCCCCTTCCCAGTCTTCTTCGACTCATCCAGTCCCGCACGACGAGTCCCGCGCGACCATGTGACGAAACCATAACAACAACCATACGACGTGAGTCACGAGCGAGCGACAGACTGTGCCCAAGTACCAGTACTTCCCCAGTGAAGACTTGGACTTGGACTATGCCCTCCAGGTCCCCGCGGATTCGCGTCGACGCTGCGCGAGGTCTGTGGGTCTGTGGGTCTGTGGACATCAGTGGTGAAAGGGTTTTGGTCTCCTTGGCTTCTAGCTACTGTCAAATGATTTCAAGAGCATTACTTCTAGCTACTAGTAGGCAATGCCCTTGTTACTAGCAGCAAAGATTTCACCCCAAGATTTGGGACACCAGCATAAACCAGCTTTGGAACAATTGGATTGGAATTTCTTCTGCCGATCCGTTCCGGTTCCCAAGCTGATAAAAAAGAATCGCAGGAAGACTCCGACTCTGCCATCAACTTTGTGCAGACCTCGGCCCAGTACGTCCCCAACCGAATGGCGATTGACGCAACCGGACACGTGACCTCCCCCGAGACGGTGCAAAGATCACTGGGGCACAGCGGAGTCATCTCGGTGTCGGCGGATGGGCGCGTGCACACGGAGATCTAAGGGAGAAACACCACGCCACTGCAGCAGGAAGCTTGAGTGAGCTCGAGGCTCGGATTTCGGAGTCTCACGAGCCTCACCAAGCCACAGGTTTTCAAGAGGCGTGAAGCCACTGATGCGTGAAGCCCTAGGCGTAAAGCCGCGAACTGATGCAAAAAAGAGCGCAACCTTGATGCCGAGCACTGGGTGTGTAACTGGGTGTGTTCATAGTCCTCCACACATATTCAAGAGGAATCATGTCGCTATTGCTCTCCGGTCCTTCCAGGGCTTTTCAACTCAAACACCTTTTGACACCGGAGAATCCGGACACTCCGAGGGTGGGTTTTCGCAGAGGGAGTGGTCGGGTCCAGGAAACACCCGGGGTTTTGGAACGACTTCTTGGGTCTGCTAAGCTGAAACGAGGCCATAAATCATCACTCGTAGCTTTGGCCAAGCCAAAACGTACTGGGAAGATCTGGGAACGTCTTCTCAGAGTAGCGGATGCTGCACGGAAGTGGATTAAATTGTGTTGAGGGACTGCCACTGGGTGTACATTGTCAATTTGCATATCTTGATGTAGGTGTGGGCTACCCTTTGCTTTTGACCAGAGCAGCTTGAGCATGGAATGTGCCGAGTGATTAAAATGACAAAAGCATAGTTCAAAGCAACGTTACTTCACAGTTCATGAGCAGACGAAGTGACTAGGTGTGTGACTCCCTGACTTTATGGGTGTGGATATTGCCCATGTTTGGACTCCCAACTGGAAGACACAAAACATGTGTTGGAATTCTTTGGCTTCCTGAACTGACTGTGAGATGATGAGCATGCTGTGGAAGTCGTTCTAAGACATTATGGGAACAGAGATGGAGGACCGGACAAATACAAGACCAGCCAAAAACCCTCGTTCTGGTTGATGCGAGGATGTAACAAGCTGCAATCCTGGCTTTATCCTTCAACTGTAGCCTATCTCTATATCTTTCTTCTTGAGGCAACCTTCGGCTGTTTCAGTTCCTGGAGAAACGCTTTGAGTGGTCAGTGGGCATCACTGATGTCCGAAGCTCAGTCACACTGTAATTGTTCAAGTTTTTCTTAAGCATCATCTTGTTGGTCCCGTTTTCATTTAATTTCCATTTGTTTCATGTTGTTTTCTTCCTAAACACGCAGCTGGATTTTGCTGTTCGCATTGCTTCGCTGCCCAAACCAGCCCGAATTTGAGGCTGCACGGAGCAATCGAGAAAGAGATCTCAGCTCACCTCGAGACCCTGCGGGGGATGAGAGGCTTGCGTCCGATAGATGACGCAAGTGCGTCCGATTTGACGGTTCCATCATGTCGCTGTATCAGCCGCTGGAGAGCACTTGATGTTCTACACGGCGCTCGCCTGCTCCCAGTATCTTCCATGGCTGATTCACCACCAGATCAGATCGGTTAGAGTTAGAGCCTTGCAAAAATGCTGCATGCTTTTTCGCGAGCCTCGTCAACCTGAGTGTTTGGCAGTCCCACTGCAAAGAGTCAAAGCGTTAGAGTTTTCAACAGGTTTGAATGCACTCCTTTGATAATTTCACCCACAAGCACAAGCAGGAAAATTGCAAGTTCGTTGTCACCAGACGTGACCTTGATGTTTAATTAGATCTAACTTGCAGATACTTTCAGCTGTATGTGATCAAGACCAGGATCAAGAAAGGATTGATTCATTGATTGATTGGGCATGTAGGAAGAACACATGGGACAACACGCTTCATGATGAGAGAGAGAGAGAGGGAGGGAGGGAGAGGGAGACAGAGAACAAACATGGTTTTTGGTACTCAAGCAAGATCTGACGCGTCCGTGAAGCATCTATAGACCAAGCACATCAAGGCCTTGCGGCTGCTAGGATTGGTTTGCGAAGCCATGGTTCTTAGGAGAGTGGTCATGGCTGGCATGCGGTGTAGTTGCTCTACCGCTACTTCAGCCCAGCCAGCCCAGCCCAACTTGCAGCAACTTCTAGATTCTTGGACAGCGCTACCAATGGTCAGAGCACTCGTGCAGCTAGGAGTGCCTGATGAATTGTCTCCAGACACTTCCATCCCTGCTGCTGACATCGCAAAGATCGTCAGCGCCGATCCAGAAATGCTACGACGGGCAGTCCGCTATGTGGCAGGCATCGGCGTGTTCAAGGAGATGCCTGATGGACGGATTGCCCACTCAGAGACGTCCCTGCAGCTTCGTAAGGGTGGGGCGCTTCGGAACAAAGTTCTCTACAGGCTTTCTGAAGAGATAGTAATGCCTTATGTTCATGGTTCTCTCAAGATCCTGCAAGATCCAAGCAAGAGCGGCTTCGCCCATTTGAATGGCATAGATTACTTTACTGAATGGCTTCCAAAGCATCCTGAGAGTGAGGCTCTCTTTGGCCAGTATATGTCAGAGGCCACATCTGCAATGATGGGGTTGATTGAAGATGCCTTCCCGTGGCCGCGTTCAGGCGTCATCGCAGACATTGGAGGAGGAAACGGTCATCTGCTGCGCGCGTTATTGCAGAAGGGTGCAGCACAGGGTGTTTTGTTCGATCTACCCTCCGCTCCTTGTCCCAAGTTGGTGAATGTCTACGTACTGTAGTCACTGTAGTCTATGAATGTCTAAAGAATAGCTGAACTGCTGAAACGGAGCTTTTTGTACATTTTCAGATCGCTTGGCCAGGTCATCGAGACCTCCCGGCAACACTGGCCAGATGGTGACCTCATGCGTGGCAGCAGCGTGACATACATGCCAGGCAGTTTCTTGGAAGCCGTGCCAGTGAAAGCAGACATCTACGTGCTGAAGTGGATCCTGCACGACTGGAGTGATGCTGATTGCATTCGGATCCTCTCCAATCTTCAGGCTTCCGCTCCCAAGGAGAGCCAGGTGGTCGTGATCGACATGTTGGTGCCTGAAGATCAGCCAAATCAGTATCATGTGGCGAAATTCTTCGACGTGCATATGGCCATCGGCTACGGGGGGAAGGAAAGAACTGTGGCAGAGATGAGGTCTTTGGCGAAGGCCAGTGGTTTTGTGATGGTTGAAGTTCTTCCGGTCGGCCGCTCGCCCTTTGCCTGCTTTGTGCTGAAGAAGAGCGAAGCTGAGCTGTGAAAGTACCAGTGCAAGTCGCGGCCACGTTGGATGTGCAGCACGCAAAAGGAAAGCAGACACTTCTTCAATATATTCCGCATCCCCTGGGCGCAGTTTGTAGATGTGTTTCAGCTGACCGCTGATGGTCGCTTCATAGCAGGGTCTCAAGATGGACATCCGCGAAACCAGTGTTGCTATATGATTCCTTTCTTTCTGCCCGTCGCCATTGATATAATATATACACACACACTGGCGACGGGCAAGAAAGAAAGGAAAGAAAGGAATGGCGACGGGCAAAGATATATATATATATAGATATATTACGGCCTTTGCCCGTAATACACACACTCTTTTCTTTTTGTAAACTTGGACCAACCTGGCCTGATCCAAGCCGCTTTCGGGTTCAGAAGACCGGGCGCTGGGTATCCCAAGCGAAGCGCCACCTGGCAGGAAGAGATAAACGTCTCTTTGGACATGGACCTGGTGATAGCTGATGATCTATTGCAATTACTATATTAAAGATAGATAGATAGGTAGATAGATAGATATGAGCGATATTTGTGATAGACTTACATCAATGCTCAGTGATGAACATAGGGGGAGTCCTGCACACAAACGGCTGAAGACAAAACCTGCCTGCTGCGGTAGACGACGTAATCGGGGTTTGTGTTGAAATAAGGGGACGGACTGCAACACCACCTTGAAAACTCTTGATTGTCGATATTACGTACTACCTTCTTCTTTTGATTTTGATGCACTTGCCTATGCTGAAAGATCCAAGAATCTCTAAGCATGTCTCCTGTTACTTGTGATATGGACATCCTCTGGGAATCGAAAACCAAAGCAAAGGAATGGCGGCAGGGCAAGACTGCCGCCATTGACTGAGAAGGACACGCCAGGAATAGCCCTCGCTCAGGAGCACTAAATACTAGTACTATATAAGTACATCTAAGATCATCTAAGTACGTGTTCCAATTCGACACTTGCCAATTTGCCAAGGCGAAATAGCGCCGTTGGGAAGAGCCGGGCGCGAGAAGCCGGGAGCAGCCGGGCGCAGCACGGATGACCGATGCAGAATGGGCGGTTCCTCGCAGCAAAGAAATTCGGGGTTCCTGGATTGGAGGGATTCTTACTTGCGGTGGCGATGATCGACGAAGGGATTGGGATGACCTGACATGCCACGGGAAGCCTCCAATTCGGAAGCAGATGCCTTCTGCTATGCTCTTAAACTTAAACCATCGTCAAAGAGGTTCATACCCACAAGTTCCAACCATCATAGCACCTCATAGCAACCCCATAGGTTTAGTTCCAAATATCCTTAACCCATCCTCAAGAGCTACATTCAGAACTCCACGAGTTCCAAGCATCATAGCTCCTTGAGCGGTGACCAGTCGTCATTTGAAGGCTTCAACCCCCAAGACTGGATTATAAAAGGAGTTTTCTCAGACCAGGGGGCTTGGAGATGAAGCCACCACATCTTGCTGAAGTATGCTGAAGTCACACCCAAACATGCTCCCCAAAGGCAGGTGTTTTCTTCTTAGCACGAATTACCCTGTCCTGCCGCACCGAACGCGCACCGAACACATTCGCCTCGACGAAGCCCGGCGGTGAGGCCAACATGCGGCGGGTTCTGGGGCCACACCTTGAAGCCATGAGCTCTGAGGCTGGAGACACGGTGTGCACTGGAGACACGGTGGGTGTAGGTAGCTGTGTGTGTGTGTGCGTGTGTGAAACCCTTGGAATCAAAGAACCCTTCGGTTTGAACTGGCAGGGGGGCACAGGAGGCCCATAGAGCTGTGCCCAACTAAGCTCTCTATGGTGACCTCAGGATATGCAGCCTGATCAGCTGCGCGTACCTGCTCGAGTGCTAAAGCTCATTTCCTTATGGTCCCTGATTGTAACTAGAATCTAGAACAATGTGTCCAGCCTTTGCACCGGCTCTTCATCAGCAGATGTGCAATTTGAGTCTTGAGTTTCGATTTTGCACTTTGGGATTCTTGAAGTCTCTCATGGAGGTTTTCAGGGAGGTCTCATGGTCAGAACGCTTTACATACCTTACTCCTGATGTTCTTAGGGCTTCACATCTAGGTGGGCATGTGGCAAGTGGCTTTCAGTTCGTACGAAGTAACCCGAGCGTGTTAGAACAAATTGATGCGGATGGCTGGATCTATTAGACATTCCAGACAGATACGCTCATAGGTTGTTGTGTCATTCAGGAACGGCTGGGGGTTGAGAGACTGTGGAAAGGCTTAGACAAAGAGAGCGTGATATCGTGGTTCATATTTTGGGTAGAGAGCAGTTTGCTCACAGCTATCCAACTGTCCAAACACACGTGAACGGTTGGATATCACTTAACTTTGGGTGCCTCTTGAAGAACTCAGTCATGATGAACATCACTGTTGTGGCAGCCTGTGCCGGTGGGGCAGTCTGGTGTAAGAAAAGACGCCTGATTCAGGGGAGAGCTCAGATGAGTTTCTAAATAAGTCTTCAAGTGCCATAGGCATAGGGAATAGGGATGAATAGGGCATGGTCCCGTTCACTGGGCCAACCTCCCCTTGTGAAAACGCAACACTGATAGGAATGACTTGATGGTTCCAAATCCTAGCTTTCAAGACACCATTCCAAACACGCATCGACCAAACCACTGTGTGTTTTCGTCTAGAAATTTCGGAGGCCGTTCTTTTTTCCGAAATGGTCGGCATGCCATGCCCGCCCGACAGGTGCAGGAAGCCTGGGGCCTGCGACCTGGAAGGGGAGTCGATCATCGGATGAACTTGTTTCTGTTGGCTAAGAAGAATCGTGCTCGGTGTTTTGCGATGTTTTTTTTGTTAATCTCTATCGGGACTCTTTGGTTTGATTGAGTCTTTGTTTCTTTGTGTCAACGCACTTCTTAAGCAGGTAAAGGTCAACTGATGAAACATCCGTGGATTGTATCAATGAATCTGTGGGTTGGAACTTTTTGAAGCTGGAACAGCTCAGATATGCATGTAATGTAGAGGGTTGATGAAACCCTTTTCTATGAGGAGGTTGGTGGGTTTCATCGATATTCTACACGGACCTACACGGATACAATTTACATATAGATGTTCCCATCTTCATCCTCAGTGTACACTCTGGCGAACACATCACAGGGTTTATGTGGATGGCATGGCCTCTTGAAAGACTACTGTCCAAAGAGAAACAGAGGGGGCAAACTCACCCCATGTCCATGTGTTCGACCGAACAATGTTCACCAAGGCCCCGAGGTGGATCCTGAGGCCATGCTGCTCCGGTGGCCCGAGCACCTGGGGAGGTTCGGCTTTGGCCGGCCGAGATGCCGCGGTTCGGCGGCACCGGTGTTTGGCTAGCGGTCGCGGTGTTCGTCGTGGCAGTCGCAGTGGCCAAGCGCGCAGAGAGGCGAACTGAAGAGGGTGATGCATCAAGGTCAGTTGAAGAGTGATGTTACTAGTAGCGTCCTTGCTCCTAGTAGTACGGCCAGGAGCCCCTAGTAGCTTCTTGTTACTAGTAGCGATGCCCTTTGTTACTAGTAGCTTCTTGCTCCTAGTAGTGTCAGAAAGACGTGCCAAGGAAGCAGAAAGAGCACTGCTGGGTGTCTCCAGTGATTGGTATTCGACTCCAAAAGCCCTTGTCCCAACTCAAATCAGCCAGAACTCATTGTTGGACACCTGTGGCATCAGTTTGGTGGTTGGAAAGATTGACCAATTACTAAGCAGGTGGTAAAGACGGTGCTCCTTGATCCAGTGGACAACCTGCTGAGGCTTTGCCAGCGTCGAAACTTGGCGTGGGGCCCTGTTGGCATCGTCCACCATGCCATAAGGGAAAGATGTTTGATGCTGAGCCACGGATAGCCAGAGATCATCAGCACGTCAACCGTCCTTTGGTTTTTCGGCTTCGACCCCGTCTCCGTGAACCCGAACCCGGGGTTCGCGTCACATCGGATCGCCCGGGGTGTGAAGACGTCAGGAAGTTCCCCCCCGTCTCAGTGCGGCGGCGGAAAGTCGAAGACCTCGGAAGGCCCGAAAGTCCTTCAGAGCGGAGAGAGCGAAGAGAGCGAAGTGCGTTTGGGATGGTTTCGAAGCAGTCCAAACGAAACCAAAAAGAAACTGATCCAGCTCAGATCATGATCATCATGAACATCCCATCTCCCCAAAGGAGCCCCAACATGTTTGGGCTTTTCGGAGACGATTTGAGGGATCCGTCTTCGTTGACGCCCGTTGGGGGTATAAAAAAGGGCCGGGGGCGGCCTCAACGTTGGGCATTGGGATGTTTGTTCAATGATTCCATCGCTTCACTCGAGACGTCCAGCGAGATCTGATCCAGATCAGCACATAGGAGTTCTCTAAGTGACAAGGCACGCTTTAATAGAATGCCTCTCGATGTTCATAGATGAGATGTTCCTAATGGATCCTAATAGCTTCTTGCTCCTAGTAGTACGGCCAGGAGCCCCTAGTAGCGTCCTTGCTCCTAGTAGCGATGCCAGGAGCCCCGTTCGTAGCGAACCTTGTTCCTAATTCTCAGGAGATCGGAGTAAATCGTACCTGACTTGCGGCTGTGCAAGATTGCACGCGTCCAGCTGAGCAATCTTGTGTGCGGAAGCAACTCACTGTTTGGGTTTCACAAGAGTGTTCTGCCGTGCGACGGTCGGGGCGTGGATCTGATGATGCTTGCTTTTGATGCTCAAGGATTCGAGGTCTCTGCCTACGTAGAACGGCACACAAAACCACTGGTCAGGGGACACATTGTTGGGGCAAGATGTTTGTTGATCTCATGCGCTGTTGCTTCAGACATCGTCTCAGCAAGATGTTTGCTTGATGTGTTTCATCTCAGCTAAGACGCCTTGGAACGCAATGCACTATGTGCAAGATCTCACCTTAGCCAAGGTCATATAACCTTTTTATGTCTTCTCCAAGGCACACTCGTTCGGCAAAATCCATGATGCGCTGGTGCAGCCTGATTGTTCATCAACATACTATGCCGGCCCATCAACATGCCCCTGATCTCGTATTTCACCAAGAAACTGGCTAGTCTAGGATTGTTCACGTCATTTTAAGTCATTTGGATGTCGTTCTCAAAAGAAGGGACTCCGAATCAAAAGGACCAAGGACCGCTGATGTCTAAGCCGCCCCGGCAGGACGGACTCCAACGTCCCGTGGGGAGACCGGTTGGACTCGGA